CTATACCTGTATAGAGACGCAGAGAAAGAGAGAGGGGAACTTTGGAAATGAGTGTCAATGACTGATTGGTTAATAATGACATGCAAATTATGTGCAAATGACAAAAGCTTTGTCTGTTCAGATAATTAAGAAATACGAAGCCGTTTTTGCCACGTTTAATAATGTTCCCGTCATGAAGTATTACATTTTGTTTCTACAAAAATCTGAGGTTTTTTCCGAAAATTTTTCGGCAAAAACGATCCGACACTTCTCCTATATTCAAAATTGTCAAGAGACGCCCTGATTGGAATGGTCCCTGTGTCAACAACGAGCTGAAATTTACTTTATACTGGAAATTTGACATCAACTACGAAATGAAGGAGATGCGGGATGATTAAACGCTTTTCTCTTCTCATTCTCAAAATTAGTCCATGGGGAAATTACTAGAATTTTACCATTTTGCGCCTTTTCTTTTTATTTCTTGTTGTGCTTTCTGATTTCCGAAAATAAGATTTACACTACTCATTCATTTTATTCAAGCCCGAACATAGGTATTATTTGAAAGTGTAGGAAATGCAGATGTTGCTTCGAAAATTTGGGGACAAATTAAAATATAAAATAAATATCCGTAGCAAAAAAATGAATACAAATATCTTTTGTTAGTTTTGTCAATCAATAATTCGATATCACCGTATATAGCAATTAAATATCATAAGATCTATTATGACGACATTTCCCTTATCCCTTGCAACCTTTTGTTTCACACCCCCCCCCTTTCCCCCTCCCCCTCCCCCTCCCCCTCTCTCTCTCTCTCTTTCTCTCTCTGTCTCTCTCTCTCTGTCTCTCTCTGTCTCTCTCTCTGTCTCTGTCTCTCTCTGTCTCTCTGTCTCTCTCTCTCTGTCTCTCTTTCTCTCTCTCTCTCTCTCTCTCTCTCTCTCTCTCTCTCTCTCTCTATCTCCTTTTCTTAACCCAAGGGAACTTGTATCGAGTCAGTATCAAGTCAGTATGGATGGTCACGACTCCTAATTACGATGATTCTCTGACCAGCACGCCTCTCTTGGCATCACGCTGTTCCTATTCATGCAGTGGGTCATGGCCGAAAAGGCGAATCCTCCAGTCAGTGCATGAAACATAGAATAATTAGCCACAAAATGATCATGAAAAAGGGGAATGGACGGAAAGGGTTAAGTGGGACGTAATTGGTTAGGAAGTAAGGGAAGCTACAAAAGAAATGCTGCACAATGGATAGAAAGATGGATTTTTAGTACCGTCTGATTTTAATTCGATATTTCCGCTCACCTTGAGAGGGGATATAATTATGGTATTCAATCAGAAATTACCAGGTCTGAGATGGTCAATTATCACGTGTTTGGTGACTATAATTATTATTGGAGCTTTTATTGAAAATTCGGTTAACGAGTAGATTATAGAAAAATGCAAGTTAACAACTACCGTTCTATTATACAAGGGCGACTTTAACTGCTTGACTGTATTCAATTGTTATGACAGATCCCTGACAGATACTTAGAGTTTTATTATTATCGTTATTATTATCAAGATTATTATTATTTCTCATTTACTGTTGTTGATTTCTATTCCTATTTCAGTTTCAACGACATTCTTTCATCACAAATTGCATTTAAATTAGGGTTTCCAACTTTACGGTAATTATTACAGTTCATATAGGCATACAGTCATGTACGATTCATGGTAACTCCCATAGTGAAATCTAGACATGGTATCAACAATTGCTTTTACCATAATCACAACAATTTCCTTTTAACGACATCCTGGAAATACCCCCGTCTGCTCTGTGAATGTGTAAATACCCGTCTGCAATGATTTATCCTCCTCACTGTATGTATATAGAAACAATCAATGCAAACGAGATGGCGAGATGGTGATTTAGAAGGGATGCGTTTCGAGGAAATGCAATCGAGAAAGAGACAATCGTCTATGATCAACGAACGAAAAGATGGGGGGGGGATCATTAAGTGGGTCGGGTGAACATTAATTAGGAGAAAGCGAACGACGACATCGACGGAGTTGATCGTGACTATCCGGTGTTGAACTCAACCAAGGATGCCTGCCTATGTTATCGCTTATAGAAAGATTTCGGTAATAAATCGATGATAAAGTCTCGTTGAAATTAGTGAGAAGAGAGAGAGAGAGAGAGAGAGAGAGAGAGAGAGAGAGACCGACATACAGACAGACAGACAGAGGAGAGGCCCGGAAGAGAGGGAACACAGGGGAAGGGCCTGGAAAAGAGTAAGATATAGAATTATGGAAAGAGAAACAAGAGTTCAGACATAGTGGGTGTGTGATTGTGTGTGTGTGTGTGTGTGAGAGAGAGAGAGAGAGAGAGAGAGAGAGAGAGAGAGAGAGAGAGAGAGAGAGAGAGAGAGAGAGAGAGAGAGGCACCCCGATTTGTTGCAAGATAAAGAAGAATGAAATTGATATAAACGAATGGGAAAAAAGACTCTTATAGAGCAATATGTTCAATGCATGCCCATAATGTAATATAGTACAGGCCTATTACGGTATAAACTGGCTGGATCTTGAGATGAGGTCGGTCTTCAGTGGCGGATCCAGGGGAGGGGGCCGAAACGCCGCCCCCCCCCCCCCTATTGGCGGCGAAAAAAAAGGGGAAGGAAAAAAGAGGAAGAGAAGAAGAGAAAAAAAGAAAGGAGAAGAGAGAAAAAAGGAGAAGAGAAAAGAAAGGAGAAGAGAAAAGAAAGGAGAAGAGAAAAGAAAAGAGAAGAGAAAAGAAAGAAGAGAAAATAAACAGAGAGAGAGAGAAGAAAAAAGTCCCCAAGAAATTTAAAAATATAGCTAGAAAGATATATAGCGAGAAGAACGTTCATATTGGGCTTCGGGAAAACTAAATTCAGACAAGGAAAAAGGGTCGAGAATGGTACAACGAATCGTCTTCTTTCTCTAATGATTTCATTAAACTATTAAAGGTCAAAGCTTACGCGCTTTGCGCAGGAGGGGGTGGGGGGGGGAAACTGAAATCGTCTTTTTTTCTCTAATAATAATTGAAAGGTCAAAGCTTCCGCGCTTTGCGCGGGCGGGGGGGAAACTGAATTCAGACAAGGATTAATAGGCGAGAATGGTTCATCGAATCGTCTTCTTTCTCTAAGAATTTAATAAAAAGGCCAAAGCTTCCGCGCTTCGCGCGAGAGGGGGAAAACTGAATTCAGACAAGGATTCAGAGTCGGGGTAAAACAAATCGTCTTTCTTCTTAAATAATTAATGAAAGTTCCAAGCTTACGCGCGTAATGGGGGACAGCGAGCTGCCCGAATATGAATTTTTGATATCTTTTCTCGTTTATCTTGGTGATAAATAACACTTTCACAAAATACATAATATGCTCAATTTTTTTCTCGCTCGTTTCGCTCACTAGCCGAATTGTGAACCCTAAACAATACTTTTTCGGACAAGAGGCTTCAATCTCCCCCCCCCCCCCCCCCACTTGATGAAAATGTCAAAAGATTGTACAGCTTAAAACCGGGGAATGTTGATATCGAACAAGAGACGGGACGTGAGCCTGCCCCCACCCCCTTTCCAAATTGTACCGGTGCTTCTAATATGACCTTGTCAGTATTGGTATGTTGAGTTGAAAAAACGGTCTGCGCATTTTTCAAATTTCCGGCCCCCCCCCCCCCCTATTGGAAAATCCTGGATCCGCGCCTGGTCTTGTACGTACATAATATGGTGTTCAAACTAAATCAGAAGTTCAATCCTCATTCTGTTCATATTTTCATAAATTTCAAACTTTTATCTCTTATTAACTAGTGATCTGTCATGGACAGGTTTGGTAGATTCAATTGCCAAAAAGGCTAATTCTCGCTTAAATTTTTTGTATAGATACCAAACTTGTATGAACATGAAGTCGAGACGTATTTTGTGTTTTGCTTTGATACAATGTTTATTTGATTATGCTAATGCTGCTTGGTACAATAGTCTGGGCAAGATGGATAAGAAAAAGTTAAAGAATAATTCAGAATAAGATGGTAAGATTTATTAATTGCTTAGGCTCAAGAACACACGTCGGGAAAAATGAACTTGAAGAAGCAGGTATAGTCTATGTAGGTCAAAGGTCTAAACAACTCGTGTATCACCATGTCCACAAAATATACTACTCAGATGTAGATCATTATATTACTAATAATTTTACTCGTGTCTCAAATATCCATGGATACGATACAAGAAATAGTCATTTTAATTTTGTTTTACCCAAGCGAAAAGGACAAATTGGAAACTCTTTTTATTTTAATGGTATCCAATTTTGGAATTCTCTCCCAAAACATGTCAAAATAGTTAAGAATTTTTCACACTTTAAAAGTGTATTAAAACAATACCTAAAGCATGAATCCCTTCAAGAACAGTAATATCAGTTATCTTAAATCACAGTTCATTATGTGTAGCGCATGTTTTTAAGTTTAATCTTGCATAATATATCGTAGATCATTGTTTGCTATAATTTCTAGAAATTTTTGTTGTTGTTTATGTTATATTATTTATTCGTAATATTCGTAGTAGTTATTAGTTGTGATATTTTATTCTCATGCCGTACTGTACACGTACTTTATAGGACCCCGTTGGAAATAAGCCTTTTCCGGCTTTCATGGGTTATCCTGTCAATGTATCTTCTCGTTTCATTTTGCTCTTTGTAAGCATTCAATGTACTATACTTGACGAATAAAATCAATCAATCAATCAATCACTATTCCGAATTAGTGTATATAGGCCAATTTGATAGGCATGCTATTGAAAATGAATAACGAGAAACTGGTTTACAAAATATTGTTAAGAGAATTAAAAAACATAATCTAAATCCCCATAGGTCTACATGTATTCGAGACGTTTTGTCAATTCTCAACATCAATAACATATGGTAATGATTTACAATATGCCACTAGTCAATCTATGATTGGTTATTGAGCTGTCGTGAATCAGTGAATTTCTTTTGTTGTGCTGTTAGTAACTGCACGAAAATGAACACAGATGGCGCATGACCACACATATTTTTGTGTATAGTAGCAAAAGATGTCAGCCTCCTGCAGGACTAAAATGGGAATGGCTCGGTCAGGAATTCTTCGTTTTTGCCTCCTCCTGACATGTTCTCAACTTTTATTTACACAAGCAGATACTGAAAATGGTAATTATTCTAAAGTGCTAAAATGCACCTTTTATTACGTTGTGTATGATGTTTTTTAAACCGTATTATTACACCGACTGGAAAAGCTCGGTCCCACTTGTTAGTATTTGTGTAAGAGTAAGACTAACAGACCTGAGAGTTTTGTGAGAAGGAAGAAGGAAGAATGAAGAAGGAGAAGGAGGAGAAGGAGAAGGAGAAGGAAATGGAGAAGGAGAAGAAGAAGAAGAAGAAGAAGAAGAAGAAGAAGAAGAAGAAGAAGAAGAAGAAGAAGAAGAAGAAGAAGAAGAAGAAGAAGAAGAAGAAGAAGAAGAAGAAGAAGAAGAAGAAGAAGAAGAAGAAGAAAAAGAAGAAGAAGAAGAAGGAAAAAAAAAGGAGAAGAAGAAGATGAAGAAGAAGAAGGGGGAGAAGAAGAAGGAGGAGGAGGAGAATAAGAGGGAGAATGGGTGGGGGGGGGGGGGTAGGCCTAGAGCATAAGGGGATGAAAAAAGGAAAATGAGAGGAAAAGGAGAAGGTTAAAAGAGTAAATGGATGTTTTAAAGCTATGTTGTGCATTGGGTCTAATTTGACTTTCTTAATTAAATTGTCATCAGAAGTTCAGGGAATATTAAAAAAAGAAAAACATGACTAGGGTCTAGATCTAGTCGACAATATAACATTTTAAGATGAAGTGTAAAGCTAGTAGTATCAGTGTGCCATTTGTAGACCCCATGGCTCTGTGGGGCTAGATCTATATTGTGGGCCACTTTAATTTGTTTTTCTACCTAGATCCTCGAATTAAATTTTCTTACATTTGCCAAATGGCTTGATTCAGGGTCTTTTCAAATTAACTCTGCAAAAAATATGGGGTTATTATAACAAATCATCATAACATGATCCAGATTGTTCAATATTGATTTGTTTCCTTTTTTCACTTAATCTTATAGATGAAAAGTGGCAGCCTTATCTATCACTCATAGAAGAGGCCACTTCAAGCTACGAAGCCTGTGTAACAGATGACTGCTCCTGTCACGCAGGGTAAGAAATCAATACAATTTAGAAATAGGAATATGAAGCTGGTAGTGATACACTGTAGAAGGCAAACCTCTAAGATTAACTGCAGATATGATTGTCTGTGTTTCATATATTAACAGATGTAATATGTTGAAATATCGCTGCACATCTGGAAAGATGATTCATTCTGGTATGAACTTGTAGAACTTGTATGTTGAATTTATGTGTTTTCATTTGTTTATTGTTACCTGTTTCTTTTTTAACATTTTATATTTACTGTACATACAAATGCAAATACCCTTGTATTGTATGTACAGAATGCTATAGAATGTAGCATATCATATCCAGCTGCCTGTAAGCTACATGTACATGTATAGAACAATATTTGGTTTAACTATCGTTCTATTATAATAATAACGATGATAAAACTGGAGTCTTGTATAGCGCTCATGTTTGGCACATTGCCACTCCTGGCAATGTTCATTATTACCATGGGTTTAGCACGGCTGCCGTTATGGCACTCAAGCATTTTAAGGAACTAATTCCTGCCATTTACTTCACCTGGGCGGAGTTTGGTAATTGTAGATTAATGTCTTGCCAAAGGACATTAGTGCTGCGACAGCGATTTGAATCCCGTACCTTGTGGTCCATAGTCCGGAGACTTGATATGATAAGAGTAAACACAAGCATCATTAGCCATTAGGCCTGCATCTACAGATTTTCATTTTATCCATTGTGTAACCAGTTCAATCATAACAAACAGACTGTCTTACTACTTTGTGATTTAAGACTACTCGACTAAAATCTATCAATTTGTAATTTTATGATTCGTTGCTTAGGGTGATGGATGAAGACTTGTCGGTATGGGAGGAGAGAGGAGGTATCACCAGAGCGGATGTGGTGAAAGCAGAGAGTCGAGGTACCCTCTATCAGGTCATCAACCATAGGCTCTACAGGGAAGAGAAATGCATGTTTCCTGCTAGGTAATCACTTACTCAATTTTAAAGCCTACTCTCTGCATACACTAATAATAATAATGGTGATAGTGGTAGTGATAACTGTTTTATATAGCACTTAACTTTAATAACTGAACAACTCATGAACTCAAAAAGCAAAATTGAAATTAGTCAACTATGGGTGAAAATTGTGTAAAGAGGTGTGTGTGAAAGAGAGAGAGGCACATGGAGACTGCAAATTAAATAGAAGTGCCGAAAATCAGAAAGATATAAATATAAAATAGAGAGAAAAAAGATAGCAAGAGAAAGATTAACAAAGGAAAAAGGAGGAGAGAGGTGGAAGAGAAAATAAAAAATAGACAAGGATGCTGCAAGTATCAAAGAAGATTTTGTTATACATCATAATTTTTTATTGATAGCATATCTAAAAGCTTACACAAAAGTATTTTTTTTGTTTTCCAATCAATTCATGTAAGATATGTTTTTCTCATGTAAACAGTAAAATATGAGAACTACTTGGTTTTGTTGAATTATATATCTTTTGCTTTGAAGTGTCTATATGTACTGTCCTACTAAAAACAATATATGAATACATTCTCTACTCTCTACTACCACAGATGCAATGGAGTTGAACATTTCATTTTACGCATCATCAAGAAACTGCCAGACATGGAGTTTGTGATGAATGTTAGGGACTGGCCACAGAGTGGGAAGTATACTGATCCAATACCCGTCCTTTCTTTTAGTAAGGTATGTATTCTGATTTTTATCCATAGTATTCTCATTCCAAATGAGCTCTGTGTTTGTTTTGGTATGAGACATGAACCTGAAATGGATGATAAATGAATGAAATTGCTTTATTTGTCAATTTTTGTATTTCAAGTTTCAAACCATACCAACCTGGCCTTGAAATGAAGTTTTGTTATACAATGACTTGTGTTGAATACATTTTTGCATCTGTTATTACCAAATCAATGCTGATTCCAATAAATGGCAAAAAATGGAGTCCTCAGCTCTGCTTTGTAAAACTTGCTAGCAGCAACAATTTAAAACATTCAGTATAACATACTGAAAATGTTGTATATTAATAATGATTAGATAAATTTATACAGAGCAACTTCTATACAAATAATCTACCACTGGCTGTGAGCAAATTTATAATAATCACATTTTTGGTCAGTTGTTCTTGATTACATGTTTCTTTATACAAGGGTTGTAATGGATACCTTTACACAAAACTGCCATTTCATGTTATTACCAAGTCTCCCAAGATAAGTCATTCATGTCTGTGTTTGTATAAACAGGTACAAAGCCAGCATTATGATATAATGTACCCAGCCTGGACTTTCTGGGAAGGTGGTCCAGCAGTATGGCCGTTGTTTCCTACAGGCCTCGGACGATGGGATCTCTTCAGAGAGTCTATTGACAAGTAAGATTGCATGCAATTTACAGTTTGTTTGTTTTTTAAATTATTTATTATTAATATTTTTTTTATTTTACGTACCACACCAAGCAACTGCCCTAAAATGTTGATTTGATCACAAATTCAATATAAAACTAAGTTTAAAGCATACATGAAAACATACTTGAAGAGAAAAATATTGTCAAAAAGAATGAAATGCCGATAATACCAAAATAATCACCAAAAAAATACCTGCTTGTATGGAAAAAACAGCATAAGGAATGGACATTTCTGCATTGGAAGTGTGTCACGTGTGGTTTTAAGTTACGTTTTAATGAATTCCTCTTTTTTGCCATCATGGTTCCTTTTTTTGGTCACACAAGGATGGCAGCTCTGAATTTATTCCATCTGTTCAATCAACCAATCATTCACTTATTAATCTTGTACGCAACATGTCTAGGTAATGATTAGTTTTGTGCAGTCAATCAATTTTACTGAGCTACGGCAATATGAACAAAAATCAATAGATATGTAAATATTTGCAAATACTTGAAGCACTGAATAATTGTTTATACTACTCTCACTGTTTCAAAGTATTAGAGTAAAACATCTTAATGTAGAATTGTGTATGTAAGTATTATAGAGGCCACTAGTATCATTTCTTGCACTTTAACTTATGATCTAATAAAATGTTGACCAAAAGTATTAAAAGAAATTAATAAATATAAAGAATTACGAATTGTAGTTAAATATGGTTGATATGAACATATTACTGGGGCAATATGCTTACCAGAAGTTAGTTTTTGTATAACAGGTATGATTATAATATTTTACTATGTTACTTTTCTGTACCCTTTCTCCACCTCAGGGAATCACAGAAATTACCTTGGGACACAAAAGAAGATAAAGCATTCTTCAGGGGATCAAGGTATGTGTTGCTCATCCATTCTTGATCAATAACACATCAGTGCTTACCTTTCATGTGAACCTCTTTGCATATCATGACGTACAGTGAATAGATTAAAACATGAGTTGCATCTGTATTACTAGACCTGAAAAGGTTTTTTTACAAATACAAATGGTGGCATATGAAAGCTTTCTACTTCAAATGGCTATACTCTCAATCCGAATTTATTTATCTGAAGCTTATGTGAAGTATTAATTCATCAAACTATCGAGTTGAAAATTGTCATGAAATACATCTGTTTTCTTTTTGAAGTACCCCCGGAAGTGTTTCAGTGGACTCTTTCAGTTATGATGAGGCTTTTTATTCCCAGCAAATATTTTCTGTTTAAAACTTCAACTGTTGTTCAACACAATACCATTATGGGCTTTAGTCATTTCACCAACGGTTTTTCTCCTCACGATCTTAATTTCTCTAATAGATGTTATGAAACACTCCACTACAAAACAATGTTTGATATCTCCTCCTCAGAACGACTGCTGAGAGAGACCCGCTTGTTCTCTTGTCGAGAGATGATCCAGACTTGGTTGATGCAAGCTACACCAAGAATCAAGCCTGGAAATCTGATGCAGTGAGTTTGAAGAGTTTTAAATAATACATCTTCAAAAGTTCAAATCAGAGTTTTAAATACACCTTCTATGTATGTTGGGCAGCCCAAACACATCAAATTAAAGAACTTTGAATACAGTAGTTCAGCAAGCTATTGTTTTAAAATTTAAACTAGAGTTGATCTATATTCTACTACTGGTAATTCAGTTAAATCAGATGCTGGTACTAAATCATGACTAAGAAAAAACAAAACGTAGACCTGTGTGTAAGTCTAAACTCTTTTCTTTGATTAATTTGACTTAAGAAGACCGAGTTTAAATCCAGCTTCAGATTTCATTTTTTTGTAAAAATAAGGGCATATCTGTTTCTTTTAGACTTATAGACCATTTTGCGTATATTTGCATACATGTATTGTATTTGTTTATATTTCATGCACAGGATACACTACATATGCCTCCTGCAAAAGAAATGACATTAGAAGATCACTGCAAATACAGGTGCATATTGGTTTACTATTAAATGTAATATTTCATTCAAATATTTCATAAAATGTAATATTTCGTTTTGCCCCCAAAAAATGTATATGAGAGTAGCATGCCCTGTACATACAAGTAAGGGGGATATGACAGTGATTTTACGTTTATATAATTTGTTTGTCTTTTTTGACAGATGGGATTTTCATCACCTCTGGTCATAAAATGAAGGTTGTGTTGACTCTATTGTAGTAGAAACAGAACAGAAAGAAAAGAATATAAAGGGGGACAAAATATTTTGAAACTCTGTTGAAGTACTTCAGAGCTACTTTGAGAAATCTTCATTTTACCATTGCTGTGTTAAAAATTCTACTTTATGTATGAAAATGTTTTTTTTGTAATGTAAACTCTGAATTCAACCATTTACTATATTATTAATCGTTACAGCTCTTTCTGATGATATATCTAATTAAGGTAGTTAACTGATTCACTAAGAACTCTATCTGAAGTACTGAAAAATCTTGGTAGATTTCTAATTTTGAATACTTAAACTGATAATATTACTGTCATAATACTCTTTGTAGTGTTTGTTTGCTATAAGTGAATTTTTAATTTTTATTCTTGAATAGATACCTGTTTAATTTCCGTGGAGTTGCTGCCAGTTTTCGTTTGAAGCACCTGTTTCTCTGCCGTTCCCTTGTCTTTCATGTTGGTGATGAGTGGCTGGAATTCTTCTACCCAGCACTCAAGCCATGGGTTCATTACATCCCTGTTAAGCAAGATCTTTCTGATGCAAGGTAAGAAACTGTTGTATGGTAATCTTGAAAGTTGTGCAATACATGCTCTGGCAACAATTGTTCTGTGGTCAATATCCCATGCTAACCTTTTTGTTTACTAAACCTTACCTTATCTCTAGCCATACATATTATCATAAACCCAGTTGGGACCCTTAGCCTAACATTATATTTTTAGAAAAGTAAAGCCTGCAGCAATTGTTGCCAGAGTATATCATAAAGCACCAATGCTTGTCATTTTCAAAGAATCTGTCACTGCACTTTCAAGACTTCAAATACATGATGTCTGCCAAACTTTTATTATAGAACATGTATAATTGCTGTGTCATGAGCAAAGCTGGTGATCCCAATCACTGGAAATGTGCATAACAAGTGATTCTGCATGTCCAAATATATGGTGTACTTTTTTTTGTATTAAAAAAAATCCTATTAGACCTTCATCAGTTTGTTTGTCTTCTGGTGGTCCCAACAACTTTTTCAGTGTCATGACAAACAATTGATAATAACTAAAGCTATACAGTTCCATTACTGGCATTCAAGATAAGCTTAAAGCCCAAGTCCACTCCAAAAATAACTTATTTTCAATAGAATCAGAAAAATCAGACAAACCAATCAAAAAAAGTTTGAGCAATATCGGATACCTAACAAGAAAGTTAGGAATTTTTAATGACATAAAAACCTTTAAAAATCAGTACACAAATTGGCAACTCACTCATGAGTCTACGACGTATGGTCCTCACTATCCACTAATTATTTTCTTTATAATGATGATATAAATTTCCTATTTTCACCCTAAGAATCTTATTTCTTCACACCAGCATCCAAGTTAGATTGTTAGTAATATGTGTTTGTGTGGATGCACAAATAAAGAGTAATTTTCGTCCAGTTAAATCATGAAAAATTGAATTTTTATAAACTATTTATATAAAAATCAATAATTACGAAATACAATATTCAGAAAATAGTATCAATTTTTCAAAATTCATAAAAAAATTTGGGAAATGTCATGCACGCAATATGATACAAATCATATAGCCTGGGCAAAGGCATGGGGAAATCAAGTTTTAGGGGATAAAAGGGGAAATTAATGGGATTAAACTATATAAAGCGATTGATAAGTTGTGAGGACATGACGTCACAAACTAATAACCATCTTGGCAAATTGTGTTGTGATTCTCATTGTTCCATAGTTTTACATACTTTTTCAAAAATTCATAACTTTCTTATTGGTTATCCGATTTTGCTCAAACTTTTTTGATTGCTTTATCTGATTTTTCTGCTTTTATTAAAAGTAAGTTTTTTTTGGAGTGGACTTGCCCTTTAACACTAAATATGGTTCCTAAAACAGTTACAAATTCAATAGAATGCTAAATGTAGTCTTAATCAAAATCCAGGGCATAGCAGTGCCTGTTTATGTTTTTTAACTTCATCAGTACAATGATAAGGGGTTAATGTTTGAAATCAAGTGCAGATTGTAATATGAAGTGGATATTTGAGAGTCTTTTAGTACCTCATGATCATATATGATGTGGGTAGGGAATTACAAAGGGTGTTTAAAAAAAAGAAAACAAATAAAGAGCGATGAGACTCACATTTTATACAGGAATTGGCAACATGTCATTGTGTTATCAATCTATTACCATAGATTGTATCACCTCTAGAAATTCATAGGTCTTTCAAACAATTATAATGTTATTAATAATGTGCCCGGTTAAAATGTTTGATGTAATGATATAGAGAGTTCAATGAGGTTAGTATTTTTGATGATTCACTCTTGAACTTACACTTCTGATGAGGATTGGTGCCCTTTAACTCCTCCATTTCTTGTGCCCTCCCACAGAGAACTGATAGAGTTTGCCAAGGCCAACCAAGAGGTAGCTCAGCAGGTCGCAGACAGGTGAGATATATTCATCCGTCAATCAACATTATCACAGTTCAGCTTCTGTTATGGCAGCATTGCAGTGATCTGTAGGGATATGATATACAACATTTGTTTGCACTCTGGAATGTGTGACTCATGCTTATACTTTATGTTTCAAAATATAATACTTCCATGTACCATATATTTCCATGTGGTAAACATGTGTGTATGTACCTGTATGCAGAATTGAGAAGTGGTATGTGGCACATTGGTACATGATTTGACTGAGTGTTATTTTATAGCATTAACGCTATTCCGTGTGCCCCAAGAAAGAAATATCACATAATTGTTAGAACTTCAACACACCAATGTTTGCAGGTGCTTTAAAAAGCTTTTTATATACAGTTATGTAATTTCCTGGTAATATTAATATTTACATACTCTATCTATACCAATTACCGGTAGACATCTTATTTTTTTAAATCCATCTTCAGCATGCCATTTTTTGAAAGACTTTAATGATTTAGATCCCTGGTGTTGCAGTGTGAAAGAATAGCATTTATTTGTTCATCTTTCAGCATAATGAGCTCTCGTATCATTATCATATTAAATTCACTCTATGTTGTTTTATGTTCAATAATCTTGCCACCGTGTGTTCCTCAGGGGTCGTGACTTTATCTGGAATCACCTTCGTATGGACGATGTGCAGTGCTACTGGAAGGATCTGCTGAAGAGGTACGCTAAGCTGCAGAAATACAAGCCTAAACACAGGAAGGATCTACAGGAGATCAAACCTAAGAAGGACGAATTATAAGATGATCATGGCATCCATTAGTGAGAGGTGTTACAGATTCACCTGGCTGACTTGGCGCTAATTCACACATAATGCCGTAAACCGTGTAAAAAAAAAAAAAACAGAAGAACCTACCACAGCAAAAAAACACAATTTATTTACTTGTGTGTAAATGTTGGTAGATGGAGATGAAAAAATGTAGCTGAATGCAACAAGGCTCCTACTTTTATTTGTAATATAAGATACATAGAAATGTGAAACACATTACACTTAAATTATGTCACCTTATTTAATCTGCTGCATTTTTTCCTTCTTTTTAGACGGTTTACTGTGTCATACGTGAATGAGGCTTGTACCGTATGGTGTCGAGTAGCTATTACTTGACTCTAATTTAACTACTATAACCATTGATATTCGGAATACCTCCATTGCCAACTTCCTTTGCTTTCATTTTGTCTATTTGTATCTGTATTTTTCACATTTTTACTGTAGAAAATGGAAATGATTTTGTACTGGGTTTAGGAGATTAATAGTAGAATGGTTTCCTTCGTTGATAGATGAATGAACGTTTCATTGCTCACAAGCGTTTATATTGTGAGACATGAATTAAAAATAATCAGTAATTATTTTTAGTACTTAAATAGAAAACTGTTTATAATTCATTTATTTCATTGGCTTAGAAATTAACAAATTTAAGCATGGTAGTACCTTTTCTTATCTTATATCATAATCCAACTATTGTATTAAAACAAAATTGTATTCATTGTGCCTTAAATTCAATGTCATAAGCTGTGGTGATATATTCAAAATAGGAATGCTTGTCAAAACTGCAATATAACTGCCTATGTAACTCATGTATCCAGTTGATTTCATGGCATTGATAGATTAGGTGGACTATTGCTCATAGTGACAATTCTTGTAGTATGCACAATATGAATCCTTATTTAGAATGTCTAATCTTACCATACACTAAGATTGACCATTGACAAAATGTTTGTTGAATTGATCATGAAATGACCTATCCTGTTCTCATTTTGTGTGTGGTCAATTTAGGTCATACAGGTTATTCATGCCACAGGGTACATGTAGAATGCCGACTATAGTTTGCAAGTCTTCCATTTTTATTTCATGTTGATTTCTTTTGTATCTCACATTGGATATACATGTACTGTATATGTACATTATTAGTATTTTGGGAGAATGATGATAAACAAAGTCATTCAGGTCTAAATTTTATTTAAATGTAATATGTTAACAAGATGAAAACATATTCTGCCTATTTTGAGGACAAGACTGAAGTACTTGAAAAAAACATATTTTGTTCAGACTCAGTTGATGAAGTGCACCATATGATTTCATTTATTTACCAAGCTTATTACAAAGCTCCTTTGTATATGTTTATCACTACGATTGATATTGGAATTTATTTATCTACATTTATACATATCTATGTATGTGTGTCTGTACATCTGTCTGTCTATCCGTCTGTCTGTCTAGCCATCTGTCTGCCTATCTGTCTATCCATCTGTCTGTCTGTCTGTCTATCCACCTGTCTGTCTATCTGTCTGTCTGTCTATTACCATGGCACTTGTCTTTCTCTTAATTTCTATACAGTGCAATCTATTCATGTTCAAGATCTGCAATTCTATTTTCCACTCTGCATAAGAGTTTAAACACAAGTTACTTAATAATTGGCTTCGTGTATTCACAGCTATATGCAATGTCTTCTGTTGTCCAGCATTACACAAATGTCATGAGACTCATGACCCATTTTATAATGAGCATGATGGGAACTTAAAATGTCTTTATCTAGTGATTTCAAATATTATCTTGACTTTTGAACTTTTCTGATTTATTATTATTTTCTTAACTATATATATTTTTTGTTTGGGTAATAGAGGGGATGCATAGTTATTATAAATTCAATGTTGAGAAACTTTCAATTTGAAGATGCTCCTATTAATGAAAATGTCAGAAACAAAGTGATGGAACATACTCAAGACCACAATTATAGATTTAATCATTAATTTGAGGAAATTCTAGGTATGGGAGAATAGAAGGGCTTTAAAAATGACAATGGACCAAATTAGAAATGTGTTGTATTTCATTACCTCCTTACAAACGATTTTTTTTCTTACTGTGAATTACGGTTAAAATTAGAGATATTAGTTTCAGGTCATTCCGCACTCACAATTCCAAGTGAATCACTCACTATACTCTATTCCAGCTGTATGATCGACTTTCTTGTGATGACATCAGTGACAGAAAGATATTTTCACAAGACGAGAAGAAGTCATTGATAAAGTGCAAGGATGCCCTTTTTCAACATTTTTTTCCTCTCAAAGATGAACTTATGGGCTCCTTTGATTTATCTCAAATAGATTTATTTGGAAACCAATAAATCCAAGACCTATTCATATGTATTGAAATTGAATCAAAATTTGTTTTCTCTATGAAATATCTATCATCATTTCTGTTTCAGAAAAAAAGTGAAGCATATTCATATGCATAAGTTCTCTAATGAAATATGTTTACACATTTGAGTTCTATGATGATAATCATTACATCATTTTTTTGCTCCAGTGAAGCACTCATAGCTTATGTATGCAATTGTAATATTTTAATTGGACAAATATATGTGATACATATTCCATAAAATTCACTGTAACATTGCTGATAAAGTATTCATTTCAGACAACACCATGAAAATGATATATTAAGCTTTATGTTCACAAAATGTACATCATTCATATTCCATTTATTTTTCTCATGCTTGTCTTCAATTATGTATGTGTTTGTAATGAGCAATAAAACAGATTCTATGATTCTTACTCTGACCATATATGATTACAAGTCTCCATATAGTGTTCTGTTATCTCTCTCTCTCACTCTCTCCCTCTCTCCCTCGATCGATCGATCGATATCAATTCCACCCTTTTATAAATTTGCTGATATGTAGTGTTTGTGATATGTAGTGTCTATTGTAGACATCGTTCTGAAAAGGCCTACATAATTTCGGATTTAAGGAGAAGCACCAATTACATGGCCAAAGAATAATGCCATTAGTCTGACCATCACTATGAGTATGATGGACAAAGAAAGCGGACAAAATATACAGTTCCTCAGGTAGATAAAGGAACATCCCTTCACTGCACATAATAGCAGTGAAGGGATGTTCCTTTATCTACCTGAGGAACTGTATATTTTGTCCGCTTTCTTTGTCAGTCATGTTCATAGTGCATTCGCCCCCCCCCCCCCCCCCCCTCCTTCTCCCTTCTTCCCGGTTTTTAAAGTCTTCCGCCATCTACCGACGGCATTGATGTAGAGTGTTGTCAACGGCGACACGTAACAATAGGCTGGGCGCTGGCGCGGTACACATGCTGTTTACATTCTACACGTCGCATCAACATTGCATGCATCGGGGACGGACCGGCCTGGATACACGCCACAAACAGCTTCATTCAGGAAGATTGCCTTGTTACACTGAAACATCACAAAGGATTCAGAAGCAACTCCCGTTTTATTTAATATTTAAGTGAGAAAATATAATAATAACACCATGAGTAACATTGAAATGTCAAACAGGGATCCCTATCCTTTCGAGAAGTTGGAGAATGACACAAGCTTTTTTGGTACAAACGAAACACAGGTGAGTTCAATTTTATTTTTTGACTCGACAGTCTTGAGTAAGAAAAGAAAGTCAAGAAAACTTTTCATCTGGCAGTAACACTGATATTTAAAGAATACATTTTTTTAAATCCAAAAGCAAAAGTGATTGCCTTATTTTTGTTAAGTTAAGTATCAAGACACACAACGTCTATATCTACCGCTTTCTCGAGTTTCTGTTTTGTTAATGTTAATTGTTATCATCAATATCAGGATTGTGTTGTTAAACCTAAAATGCATTTACAGACAAAGCCAAATGCATATCTATTTTTTAAAATAGATCTTGGCACTCTAACTACCAGCTATCAGTATCAGACCTCTAGATCTATACCATAATGTGTTTTTGTTAGATGGGACACTCTTAAAATCTTCTGTCGAAATTGATAGGCCCTACTTCTTTTAATTTACTTTTAACTCTAGCTCTTGTTTTAACTTACAGGGGGTTATGACAGTCTATAAGACTATATATTATTATCATGAGTAGACTCTAGGCCTAGACTAGAGTCTATAGGATATATATACACTGTTTACACACACTTCAAAATAATTAATTTAACTGTTATTTAGCATTTGATTTGCTGGTACTTTTACCCCCAAAATACAATTGTCTAACAGTCTAATTTAATAACCTTGCTTTAATATTTGCTATAGGGTCTAATCAAAATAGACTAGTATGTGTAAACTAAATAGTCAAATATAATTACTAGTGCCACCCTTCATAATTTGTTTTCTTGCTCTACAAACATTGGTAGAAGGACGCCTATTCTAATTCACACATCATATCTCAGTTTGTGTTGTTGTTGTTGTTCAGTCAACTTTGCAAGTCTCGTTATCGAATACATGAATTTAAAATGATCTGTAAGTGTTGTCTAAACAACATTGTATTTAAGGGTATGGGTGAATTAGGAGTTTAACAAAAACTTTTCAAAGATTTTTTAATCCATAAAGGGGATTCATCTCATGTCAAATGTAAAATCTAATAAATGTTTGTATATATCTTCTTCCTGCAGAAAATGCCATATGGTGAACCAACACATATAGCACAGACCAAAGACCCATGGCAGAGACTCAACTCAACATGCACACTAGCTAGCTCAAGGCGAGAAGTGTATCACCATGATCCAAAGGTGAGTTAGTTTGGCTACACATTAGTAATGATAAGTAAAGATAGTGATTGTTAGTCTTCCTTTATGATTTTATTTGTTTTTGGCAGTATGACATTTACAGTATGAAATGAAGTAAAAATGTTGTTTTGAAAATTTCATAGATTCAATCTTAAAAATGCAATTCATGGCCTATTAATTTTGGACTATTAATGAGAATTTTTTCTCTACTCTAGGAACACATTAACTTAACAATACTTGCTATGTTGTTAGCAAAATTTTGATAAGTTAAATCATGATGTTGATAATGTACATTTTCAATTTATAAAAAGTATATTTATAATTCCAAGAGAAATGAACTACATGTGTTATAGAGCTGTAAAATAATAAAAGTGGTAAAAAGTCACCATAATTCACTGACATCATGTTTTCTGTTTTTACTTTGTCTCTATATAGGCTCCTAGAGATAGTTTGGATTTCATTCTCAAGGCAAATTATGATCACCATGGTGAACTACTCAAGAATAGATCAGAAACACTTATGCAACCTGAAACACTGGGCGCCAATCATGGGTACGTTTTAAAAATATTTGTTAAAGCCTATTGTACATCAATTCTGTTGTTGTTGTTTTGTATGAGAGCCTTTGTATTTGTTTCTGTCTGTCCACCCCCCCCCCCCCTCTCTTCACTCTCTCTCTCTCTCTCTCTCTCTCCCTCCCTCCCTCTCTCTCTCTCTCTCCTTTGCCTTGGTTTCCAGTCTCCATGGAAACGCCAAAGGACCATGTCAACTGATAGTAACTTTGAATTCTCACATTGTGTGCATTGATTGGAGAGAGCTTAGGATAATCCTGAGAGCTTTGAACTGCAGGGGTCAAACAAAGAGTCTTTGAATATAATTGACCCTTTTGAACTTGAGTTCATAACCTATTTGACCTATTCAAGCTTGAGTGGACTAAGGCTCATTGTTAACAACATTTAATGAATGCTTAAAGAACATTCTTTCTATTCACCGCTCTAATGTTGGTCAGTAATCACCAAAGCAGGATGTCAGAGATAGAAAATCAATCATTCCATGGCAACATATCCCAGCCCACACTGATAATGTTCATCTAAAATGATGTTTAAGACATTTATCTCTCTGAGATAGATTGCTTTAAATAATTATTACGCTTTTTTTGTATGCATTTTGAGTTTGTTGTTGTTATTTTTTTGTTTTTTGTTGTTGTTCACACTTGAATTTCAGGAGGGATTGTTTTTAATGGTACTATTTAACATTTTGGTATGGCTATAAATGTACTTGAATAATTTATCAAAAAGAAAAAAGAATAAAAAAGGATGACATTTGAGTACAAAATATATAGCCTAATATGATTTCTTTTAGAGTAAGGATAATAAGGAATCTATGTGCACATGGGAATGAATATTGTTTTCAATTGCTTTATGCATCAAGCTCTTGGTATATTTTTTCTTGAAGAAAAGTGATATACATGTACACTGTATCTTGACTTTCTCAAATATGTGATCCTCATCACCTTTGATTTTCCAACAGACGTATCCTGAAAAACCGAGTGCCAGAAAAGGTGGCTGAGCCTGTGTCGCCCACTGGCAAACTGACCATTGTCAGCATTCACACCCCAAAGAAAGAGAGCATCCACAGTGTGAAAGGGGCCATTGAGAGTCATCATACACCAGCTACCAATCAAGGGTTCTCAAGAAAACATGATGGTGGTTTCTACACAACATGAAAATCATATCTATTATCAACCCTCTGTTCCTGTATATACTGAATACCAATATGCTGGAAGCATATTTGTGAAAAACTTTCAAATATAATAATTGCGATGCTTCTGTCTTGTTCTGTTCCAGTCTTTATCTTGTTGCATTACCTCAGTGAACTTATACGAAAGTGTTAAACTTATTTTTTACATGCAATACTAATACTTTATCCCTTTATGACAAATTAATCATGTTTTAAATCAATGCATAATTCATAATATTAATTTAAATATTAGCTAACATTTGGTTGTGAAGCTGGTATTCAGTAAAGCGAATGTTAGACGGGGTAGAGAGACGCGGGAAGCTACTTTTGGGGTGGGGTATAATCTAGACCAAACTGGAATGGATGTGTATGTATCAGATATCTTTGTGCAAATTCAATTCAAATTTGAATATTTAAAAAATTGTATTATCTTCAGTGCCTGAATATAAGGAATATGATAGTATAGTTACATTGAATATGCAGACATTGTTTTAAAGTCCGTCCATGCTATATATCATATCTCCAAAATAGAAAAACGAAGTGCTCATCAGTCATCTATCTAGTGGAGTATGATCTTTTGTGTTTTTCACATGATGCCTTTGGAGTTTTTTGCTTTTTATACAGTATTTTTATGGAAGATATATTTTATTGTCATATTACCAGTTATTTAACTACATCCAACAACAGACCACTTGATTGTTCTTGTATTGAATATTTATGCAAATTGTGCTTTTAATGATTGGACTATTAATCCCCTCTTATCTTTATGGTCTATTTGGCTGATGGATTAATTTTGTAACGCATCTTGGTGAAATTGATCTTTGTAAACAATAGTAGCTTTGAATCATGTCATGTAATTGAATCATGTATAGAAAATCTATAGAGATAGAGAGTAATTAAAGTGAGATGTAACATAATATCAGCTCCATGCTACTATGTTTGTATTATGTCGTCATAAGAGGGGGTAGGGGGAGAAATGTGATCTAGACAAACAGGAAAAGTGTGGATGTAAAGGTAGAAAAAAGAAAGACTAACAGAGAGAGATATGAGACATACAGTGAGAGATAGATGTAGTGAGAGAAAGATGGGGGGGGGGGTGTCAGTAAATTTGCAAAACAAAGGATGAGGGTAGAAAGAAGAAAGAGACTAAGAGAAAGACATGAGACATACCTGTATAGACAGACATACATATTGAAAAAGAGAAGGGGGGAGTCTGATAAATTGGCAAAGCAAAGGAAGGAAAGGTAGAAAGAGAGTGACTGAAAGAGAAAGACATGAGACGTACATTTCATAAAAGAGAAAAGCGGGGTGAATGTGTATAAGAACCTGAATAACACACATTACAACTAGTTTATACATTAATTTTGCTTTTCAAGCTTTAATTGAAAATATCATATTCTCTTCATGTTTAGGTAAAGTCTGAAATATTTAACATTGTAATTACATCATAAAAAAAAGGAATTGATCGTGATAAAAGTAGAATATCACCACTGATATGACATAGAATTTATCACCCATTTTACAATGAATCGCTAAATTTTTAGTGCAAGCTACTGTATTTATATCACAAATCATTACTAACAATGAGTGTTCATAGCACATAACTATAAACATTCAACATAATTGTCTGGTATTGTTAAATTTTAGGCTAGGTTAGATCCTTGATCATTCCAATGGTCACTTTCTGAGCAAGCGCCAATAACAAGTGTTTATTCTTCTCAATTTCAATTTTGTTACGAAAACGACAACTAACACTCAAGTTTTACCAACTTAAAAGATAACATAGTTTTCAGAATATGACCCCTGGTTTTTTAAGTTTCATTTAATGACTACCGGTACTTCATATTTGTATATCAATTTTAATACAGAATTGCATAAAATTATACAATGGACAGGTCAACACTTCGCACTGCACTGAAGAGTGAACTGATTAGTTCATCTTTCATTACATTTTTCAGTGATATCATTTTTAATGAGTAAACATATTTTTATGTTGATAAATTTCAGCCTTAATAAAATCGGGACATTCACTTCATTAATCAACAATGGAATATGAATAAATTGGGGGTAATTAAAGAAAAAGTCAAGCCACCAAATAATGGTAAACATAAAATGTTCCATATATTTGTGGTGAATTGAATCTTCTTCTTATCGAGTCACTACACAAGTCCCGTCCAGTGGTCCACACAGGCTAAAAGAAACTTGAGTAGTGTGGTTGAAGGATTCGCAGATTTTCATCTGACGGACCGCGATGTGAACGCTCCTTCAAAGGCCCCAATGTTTTTACTGTTCTCCTACACTTAACTGTAGTCTAGATACAGTACAGGTGATTGATCTGCAGTAACCTCTAAGTAAGCTATATGGTAATGCAGCAGAATTAATGATAGTCTATCGTATATATTTTGAGGAGGTATCAGCAAGGTAGACTAAACTATAAAAAAATATTAAAAAAAAAAAGATAAAGACGTATGACATAAAAAGAATATAATTGAAATGTCCGACTAGGTTCCGTGGCACAAACTCGGCATTATTGGACAAACCTACCATTGGAGAAACCTAACAATTACAGAGCTTGGTCTTGTTTCTCTGTTCGCCAGCAGTTTAAGGATATGAAACCCCGCGGCACACTACTCACAAGAGCTCTAACAAGCCAAGCTTATACAGAGCCTAAAAGTAAAATAAAATAATACCACGTATGTACCACTCACCTAATCGATTCAAGAACAAATTATGATTAAGTTAATCACGTAAAACAGGAAAATATAAAAACAATAATTGAATAAATACCAAATTGTGAACTATAATAATATTATCAGCACTCAAACACACCCAACGCACATATCAGTACAAAGCGTAATATATATATATATATATCTTTACAAATCCAGTAATATAATTATTTATTATTATTATTATTATTATTCATTTTTTTTTTTTTTTATTATTCATATTATTTCATATTAATAGTAACATAATATAGTATTAATGACTGCTTTGAGAGAAATAGTGAATAGTGAATTGAATTACTAGGCCTATATTCAGGGTCACAATATGCAAAGCAGAAATCCTTGTTTAGATTTGCAGCATTTGGATTGCAATATATCTCAGAAAGTACCAAATAATGTTGCATAAGCCCAATATAAATGGTATCTTTTTTTTTAGTATACCGGTAGTAGGTCTAATTCCTACAGTATACTTCTAGCTCCAGCTGTCTACTCCTGCTAGAAAATTGTATCAAAAGGATCATATAGGGGGGGGGGGGGTCCTGAAATGAGTTACATCAATATATATATTGTATGTATATTTCTTTATGTATTGTGCACCCCATTAATCAAGCCTTGGCTTTTAGGGGCACCCTGACCATTTATACTGTATTAATAATTTTCATACATGCATGATTTGTATATTTATTTTTTATTTTAAATGGTTTAATAAAACGAATTGAATTGAATTGAATGAATTGTTATTATATTAAATAGCAAGTGTTGAAATGAAAATGAAAAAATACAAACAATATTTAACTCATAAAATCGATTGCCAGCTTATTGCAATACTCACTGCGATGACATAAAAGATAAGAATAGTTTTCTGAAACACTTCCTGGTTGAATTAAGTACAATGCAAGGTTCTGCCTATACACACAAATAAATTTGTTCTCTCATTTACAATATTATGAATATACATCAATGTTCACTTGAAAGCTCTTGAACTGGTCAGAAATTCATGTAAAACTTGAAACATTTTGTTAATTCAAACATGTGGCAGAATGAATTAAAAACAAATATAACATTGACAGGCATAGGTAGGCTAGATTAATGAAAGACATCAAATAGGTCAATGAAAGACAAAAAAATGTCCATAACTCGTATCAGTATATACATATATTACATATTTCACAAGATTTACTATAAACAGTCAGCAATAGCACACAAAAATAAATACCCTGTTTCATCATCCTTTGAAGATAATATTGCTATGATTTCATATTTAAGCCTAAAATACATCTCTATTGGACTTATAGAAATTATGAACAAAAAATTCTTTACCAACGTGTTTGAGAAGTGAAAGATCTTTGGGGATACTGACATGAGGATAAAATGAAAATCACATACATGTAGGAAAGGCACTTTTATTTGGTACTACGGATGGATGTATAGTAAACTCATGTAAGAGTAACGTAGATCTTGTACTTTGAAAAGCAAACCTGAGTTGTTGAAATTGCAATTCACACACCACATATATCTTTTATACATTTTATCTACAGCCACTTAACAAAAGTATATGTGTCACATATAATCTGTATTTTCATTACTATACATGCAAATATGTACCATCAAACAATACTTTGGTAAAAATTCATATTTAAATCTAATTGATACAGGACACTTCACAAAATCATAATTTCTGCAATTATGTAGTCCTTTAAAATGAACTAGAGAATTTTAATTGAACTACTTGAGTCAGTAGAAAAGAGCTTATATATAAAAGAAAATAAATCATTAACAATTGACAACAAAATCTCATTGATTTTGGAGTAAGAACTTTTGATTTGCCTTGAAATTTGCATATTCACATCCTCCCGTAGAAATCATTATTTTTTGAAGGTGTAATTGTTCATATTAATAAGATGTGTTGGTAAATACAACATTTAACATTAACTGCTTGTCTACAAAGGCAAGAACATTTATGACTAAGGCTTTTCGTGTATACGTGAGAGTATTTCATGTTCATATGATAAAGTATGTAGAGGGTAAATCTAACATCTGTAATTTTGTTGGTAATACCAAATTTATACATTGTGATAATAATACTTTACAAACTTACAGTTTAGCCCTATTTATTCTGATTAAAAATAGAGAATAACCTGTATACTTTTGGGTGGATCGGGGTAAATCTACTTTCCTTCATGATGCATTTGGTAAATATTACTAATTATGCATATTGGAACAAAATGTATCAGAAAAAGTACAACGACTTACATAAAACGCATCTCAAATTTTGTTTAGCTATATAAAGAGCTTTTCCCACTTCTAAAATATACTTCAATATGCACAGTATTATACAGACACCCTGCTAATGCCCTTCTGGATTAAAAAAAAATGCATTCTATACTTGTGTAAATACTTGTGCATCTGCTAGAGTTTTTTCCCTTCAATCAAACCCCAGAAATCAGTATATCATGGGAGAGGTATATTCAACATGCCTTATACTCAAAATGTATTCACCAATGACAGCCAAGCTAGTGAACTATTTTCAAGTATTTCACATTCTACTTGTATGCACTGTGACTACACGAATCATATACCACTGGATATATATATATATATATATATATATATATATATATATATCTAGTAATTGTTATTGTTCAAGCCTGTGTCACTTACAGTATCTAAAATACAATAAAAACTGAAATAATCCAGTTCAAGATATAAACTAAGTGTCATTAGATGACCATCTTGAGCTATTCTTAATGTAGTGTATTATTTCATAACAATTAACACCTGCATGATAATAAAACTTTGTCATACTTCTCACCCTCCATCCCTCATAGATGCTGTGGAACATTAAGGTACATATTCATTGGATACCAATACTACATTATTCCCAGGCAGCATACCTGTCAATAAATTCTGATAAATGCAATATTAACAAAAACAACTAATATTTGTGCGATAAATGTACATAGATTGTCAGTTGTGTCATCTCTTGACAGCAGCAGGAGTCTGTCAATACTTTATACAAATTGATAGTCTTTAACAGCTCACAGTACTGTATATTGCAAGGCATATTTGCATGGTGATGTCATATTATGCCTTCTGTTTTTAGGCCAGCATCACTCTGTCCATATGATTATTTTTCATCTCACAGTACTGCCTTGTATGGTAATCCGCTCGTGCATGGTGGTGTCATAATGAGCCTCCCTGATGCAGCAGGACTATCCATACAGCTTGAGACCCTCTTTCATCTAACAGCACTGTATTTATGAGGTCCATTCATGTATACAAATGCACTGTGCATACATGGTGCCATCTGTAGAATGCGGAATGACTCTGTCCATACAGTTTCACACTATGTTCAGCTGTAAGGCACCCTGATTGTGCACTGTCCAATTTGTTAACGCCTGCATCAACTTGTCCTTACAGCTGGATATTGTCTCTGTCAGTTCACAATGTTGTATTCACTTGTTCTCATAAGAGTACTGAGGGTTGATGCTCCCCAATTGGAGGTAGTTTTATCCTTTGGCTGATGGAGGGAACCTCTGGGTTTTGATGATTGATTCTGGTTGGCATGAAAGCTCTACCAGGACTCCCGTGCATGCTAAACCTTTGTTGAACTATCACATTCCTTATAAGAGTCTGCAGAAATGAGAGAAAAAGATATCAAGATGAAAATTGAAGGAAACTCAATGGATCTTTGACTGCGCAAAGTTGAAAATGATAACTCCGCCCTAGAACGATTTTACAAACCAAAACAGAAACAATCTTTAGAATTCAAGTATGATTGTAATCCACTAACAGGTTCTCAGAATAGCGCCGTGATCACAAGCTATTTTTGCATACGTAAAGAGCCCTGTGACCTTTGACCTCATGACCCCCAAATCTAAGCAGGCCATTGGCTCTGCAAGACACATGAACCAACTTTGGCGGGAATCCATCAATCTGTTCTTGAGATAACACGATCAAGAGAACGAGACGTACACGGATGGATGGACTTTGCAAATACATGCCTCCGGCTCCTTCGTTGTGGAGGCATAAATAATGTTTTTAATGTCATGTATTTTCAATATGTGACATTCCTCAATCCTTTTCCACTGTAAAATGAATTCATTTAAACCTGTGAAACGATTACCACAGTAGTTCTGAAAACTATATTGTACTTTGAGAGCTAAAAGGGGATTAACTTGTATCTTCTTACATTGATGGATAGCACCCTTTTGGCTTTCAACGGAACATATCTTGACAACACCTACACAAATAAATGTAGTTTATTTATGTTACAAATATTTATATATGGTAAAGATTCTGGGACCTACAAACATGTGTATCAACACATCCTCACAAATCCTTCTACAATTCACTGTATAAGGGATCACTGGCATTGGAATAACTTAATACCATACCCATACCCATAAACTCACCTTCCATCTTTTCTTAGCCACTCTTCTGCTTTCTGCCTTGCTATGTGCAAGAACTTTTGTAATTGAGAATGCATCGACTTCCTTCATCACCACATTCCCTGCAGCACTATTCATGTCTATTAGCCGTGTTCCTCGCTTGAACTTTTTTACTCTGACATCTTGAATTGTACTTCTCCGTACGAGAGAGGGTCTGAAGAAAAAAATGTTGATAAGTGGAAAGAAAAATTAACGACATGAAGTATGTGACATTAGTATCAGAGAAAATACATTCATATCACAATAAAGTTAGTATGTGTCATCATCATCATTTAGTAAAGTCAGCATTCTCCCTCTTATCTTATCTTATCTTAAAGGGATCGTTTAACAATGTTAAATCTGAGATACACGGCCCTACATGTTATCAGTGTCTGTGATATGGTGTAATATTAAAGCCCTAAAAAATTCACGTTTCAAAATTATCAAGAAATGCCTCAAAAAAATAAAAATCTTTGAGTGACCGGTTTTACCATACTCGTTTTTCCCAATAGACTGTAGTGTTTATATAAAAGACGTTTGGCAAACGGTTTTCAAAATTTGTAATTCCAATCATAAATATCTTGATAATCAGACAGGCGATCGGCTTGTAAAAGTCATGGGGTTCCTGACTGACCTAAAGGTTTATAATTATCATTGCAGCATGAGCTAAATCCAGAATTTTGTTTTAGAATGTGAGACAAAGTTACCGGATCCCTTTAAGAGGGGTTACCGACTTTTACGCCATGATGACACTCCCTCCCTCCACTTATCTAAACGTATATGCAGTGATGGGAATTATTCTTAACTGTTTCGCCGAGCGATGATTTTTGCTTGGTTTAGATTTTCTCTTTTTTTTGCTCTTATAAGCTACCATAGGTTAAGTTCGGCACTGTCGCCATGTTCTTCAGTCAACGCAGTGCACAGTCAGAAATGTAGTCAAGTTTGACTCATTTACTAGTTAACCCGTCAGTTGCCATAGAAGTATTCCCGACAAAGTTTTGTCCCGCCACAGAAGTGAGTGTTTAGATTAATATAAATTGGAATGTGAACTCTTAAAACGGAAAATAAGATAGATTCAAGTTGTACTGTAAAATGGATTCTAAAGAACTGTATTTAACTTATTAGCATAATGCACGTGTGGCATTAATTCCAAGATGGCTGCGCCTAAAATGGCCGCGCCCATAAGACGTACTTTTAGTCATGTGTTTTTTCCAGTTCAATAATAATTGTCAAAACAGAATTACAGTAATAGGCAAATATCGTTTTATGTCATTTATAGAGTAAACAGTGTATATATGTAGAAGTCCTAAAGATAAAGGATGTTTATATTTGTGCATGCTAGAATCTTGGATTTTATGCAGTTTGTTTGGGTCACAAAAGTTGGTCTGTGGAATTTCATTTAGCTTGCATAAAAGTTGCAAGACACTATTTATTGACTTGGTAAAAGGTTAACATTTGCACCTCTGACATGGTATTTAGAGTCAGAATTGAAAGAAACTGTTTATTCATTTTAAGAGTTAATAACGAAACTCGAAAGGATTGCTGTAATGTACTGCATGTGTAGATTACAGATGTAAATTACAGGTGTAAATTACAAGTTATGCCAGATAGTTTATTTTGTATTGAAGTGTAAATCTCTAGATTATTACTGGGAAGTTTTAGAGCAAGTCAGGTATTTCAGTTTAATTCAAACAGGGTTGAATTGTATGAAGACATTTTATGAGACAGTTTTTCTTAGGCGAGCATAAATATGCAAATTAGGTGCCTGTCAAAGTCAGTCGAAGGTCATATAGCACATTTAAAGTGACAATCTATTGTTGAGGTTTTTAGAAGGAATTTAAACTATGAAGATAGATGAGAATTATCAAGCTTGTGTATGGATGCAAGATAAAGATGTTTACAGTTATTTTGGTTCATGCAAATTGGCAGTGATCTGTTTAAAGGGAAGTCTGCCGGGTCGGTTTTAGAAACTCTGAAAGTATGAGTATTTGAAAGTAATGCATATTAGAAAATGCATAAGGTTTTGTAACCATTGGTTACTCTGGATTTTTGTTAGTTAAAGGACGAGGTCAATGTCATGATGTTCGATTAGACATGATATTGATATCGATGTAAACAACAATGTGATCGAGAGATAATGTAATGCATTGCATGTTGCAAGGTCAAGAGGTCAAATACGGCATGTTACATGTTCGTGAAGCGGGAGCGGAAAGGATACAATAAAGACTATGAGACTCGTAATACTTGTGTTGAATTCCATTTATTCTATATCCTGGTTAGGATATGACATTGGCGACGAGGATGAAAGTCATATAGGACAATTGTAGATCTGTTTGAGAAGGAAAATGGCGTTTGGAGGCGCAGATATCAAGGGACTTAGTCAGTTTGATCCGACCGGAGACGGCAGTGTTGTGAGTGAAAGATGGCAGCGCTGGTATGAGGAGTTTGATGCGTACGCAGATAGCCTCGGTGTGTTTGTCGACGGGGCAGAGCCGGCGCAGTTGACTCGACGTAGAGCCTTGATGATGTACTCGGCTGGAGCGGCTGTGCGGGAAGTTTTCAAGACCCTTGAGGATACTGGCACCAAGGCAGATTATGACAAGGCTGTGAACGCTTTGGAGAAGCATTTTGTTGTGCAGTCAAATTCTACCTTTCAACGTCATGTTTTCAGACAGATTACTCAGCAGGCGGATGAGACTGTGTCGCAGATGGTGACACGGCTTAAGAAGGCAGCAGAAGGCTGTGCTTTCAGAGATGATTTGGAGAACCAGATTCGTGATCAGGTCGTTCAAGGGTTGCGGTCGTCTAGACTGCGAAGGAAACTTTTGGAAAAGGGTACTGCACTCACCCTAACTGCAACCTTGGCGATAGCAGCGTCACTTGAGGCCGTGGAGGCCATGGATTCTCAATTCAGAATACTGTCATCGGTGGACGAGTTTCCTAACCCTAGTTCCCAGATCCGTCAGGTCAGTAATGAAACCCGTGAATGCTTTAATTGTGGGAGAACTGGGCACAGTTATAAGGACTCGACATGTCCAGCCAAGGGACGGATATGCCACACATGTGGGAAAAAGGGACACTTCGCCACAAAGTGCAGAGATGGTTCAGGGAAGAAGGAGCAGACAAGTGGACCAAACGTTAAACCTAGAGGAAAATGGGGACAGAAAAGGCAAGGTCACAAAGTGCGACAAGTGGATGAATGCACATGTCACTGTCAGAATAAGCAAGGTGATGAACAGAATCATAGTGATGATAGTGAGAGAGGATATGCATTCGCTATTGATACTGACAAGTGTGAAAAGGTGCCTGTTGTGATTGGAGGAGTACCAGTTGATATCATAGTAGATTCTGGAACCACCGCGAATATCATTGACAGAGCATTATGGGAGTTCCTGAAGACAGAGAAAATTACATGCTCATCCCGAAGGTGTAACAAAAAGATTTATCCGTATACTTCTGTAGAGCCACTCCAGACCATTGGATGTTTTAAAGCTGTGGTCACGGCAGGTGAGAGAAGTGTAGAAGCTGAATTTGTTGTCATTGCAGAGAAAGGCGAACCACTGATGAGTAGAAAAACGGCATTAGCCCTTGGTGTGCTACGGATCGGGATAGATGTGAACTCTGTGAAATCATATGTAGATATGAGAGAAGAATTCAAGCCAGTATTCCAAGGCGTTGGAAAACTGCGTGATCGACAAATCAAGCTGAAAGTTGATCCCGAGATTAGACCTGTAGCCCAGCCAGTTCGAAGAACACCATTCGGTTTGAGAGACAGAGTGAAGGAGAAGATCCAGGAACTAGTCGAGCAAGACATTATAGAGCCTGTGGAAGAACCTACACCGTGGGTTAGTCCTGTAGTCATAGTACCCAAGCCTAATGGAGATATCCGGATATGCATTGACATGAGGCGGGTCAATGAAGCCATTGTGAGGGAGAGACATCCGATACCGACAGTGGATGAAATACTCCAAGAGTTGTCAACAAGCAAGGTGTTCTCAAAAATTGATCTAAAATGGGGATATCATCAGTTGGAGTTAGATCCTGAATCCCGAAAGTTGACCACGTTTGTAACACATTGCGGACTATACCGTTACAAGAGATTGTTATTCGGTGTGAATGCAGCACCTGAGATCTATCAGCACGAGATCCACAAAGTGCTTCAAGGACTACCTGGTGTTGCAAACATTTCTGATGACATCATCATTCATGGTGCCACGCAGGAAGAGCATGATGAGAGGCTTCGACAGACCTTGACACGATTGAAAGACGCAGGATTAACGGCCAATGCAGAAAAGTGCCTGTTTGGTGTGTCCGAGTTAGTATTCAGGGGACACAAGTTGACCAAGGACGGCATCAATCCCACCAAGGCCAAGATTGAGGCTGTAGCAAACGCATGTGAGCCAATACGAAGTACGCTCTTACCAGCTGGTCCATGGGAGGATGTCGCAGTAGATTTTTTGGGACCACTACCATCTGGTGAATCAATTCTAGTGATCATTGACTATTACAGTAGATATTATGAATATATTGTGATGCGATCTACAACAGCAGAGAAGACAGTGGCAGCTCTAGCAGGGATCTTCGCAAGACATGGTTTGCCACTAACCCTGTATTCTGACAATGGGCCTCAATTTATCTCGCAAGTCTTTGCAGACTATATGAGGCTGACAGGTGTACACCACCATAGGGTTACACCCAAGTGGCCTCAGGCAAATGGTGAGGTTGAGCGACAGAACCAATCCCTCGAGAAGAGAATGAGAATTGCTCATTCAGAAGGCAAAGACTGGAAGGAGGCGCTTCTGTCATATGTTGCAGCATACAGGGCTACACCACATAGCACAACAGGTAAAAGCCCAGCTGAGCTACTCTTCGGACGGAAGATCAGGACAAAGTTACCTGTTATCAGTGAATCTCTAAATGACCAAGAGATCAGAGACCAGGACGCTGAGAGCAAAGGTGCATCGAAACTGTATGCAGACTCTAAGAGGGGTGCCAAACCATCTGATGTGGTGCCAGGAGATGAAGTTCTGGTGAGGAGGGAAGTGTCTAGCAAAATGGACACACCATTTCTACCACAACCATACACAGTTGTATCCAGAGAGGGCAACAAGCTGAACATTTGCTCACCAGAAGGTGTGATGTATGCTAGGAACACATCACATGTGAAGAAGTATC